CGGCCGCGCGTCTGAGCCGCCCGGGCCCTGAGCGCAGGCGGCGAGGCCACCGCACCTGCAGCGCGCTCGGGCTGCCAAGCAGGCGCTTCGCCTCCCGCCGCCGGGCCTCCCTCTCCCCCCGCGCCGGGTCTCCCGTGACACCCGAGACCCCCCGGCCGACGACAATGACCACTTCCCTGCAAGATGGGCAGAGCGCCGCGGGTAGGGCGGCTGCCCAGGACTCGCCGCTGGCCGCCCAGGTGTGCGGCGCTGCCCAGGGGAGGGGCGACGCCCGCGACCTGGAGCCTGCCCCCTGGTTGCACGCGCGGGCGCTCCTGCCCCCTCCGGACGGGACCCGCGGCTGTGCTGCAGACAGGTAGGCAGCCCTCGGAGGGCGCGGGGGAGTGTCCTGGGTTGGCAGCCGGCGAGGGGCTGAGGAGGCGGTCCTAGGGGGTGAGCCATGTGCCCAGAGCTGGGCCAAGTTTGTGAAAGTCTCTGAAGACAATTCCCTTTGAGCTGGCTCCTACCCGCTCAGCAGGACATTGCGATCTCGCAGCGCCTTATAAATAGCATCACCGTTTCATTGAGAGCTCCTGGTCGCTCTCACCTCTGCCCATCCGTGTGAACTAGGAGGCCAGGCTGATCACCCCCTTTTCCTCTCTTCGTGGCCCTGTACCAAAAAAACAAAAAACAAACAACCCCCCCAAAACCAAACCAAACCAAACCAAAACAAAAAAACCTAATCCTTTTTATTTTATAAATTTAAAAAATCATCGCATAAATGAGTTCACCTCCCACATAGAGTCTTACAGCGACCCTGGAGAGGCAAAGCACGGATTGACATTTGAGCAGTCTTGCTGTTCAGCAGGAAGAATAGAGGCTTTAAAAGGTTTCCCAAGCTCCATAGCATTCAGCACTAAGTGCCTTTAGAGTTCACAATTTTGCACGTACTTTAGGAAAGAAAAAGACTGCAACAATACAAAAATCTGTAGTCCTTTATATTCATACATTGAAATGGTACTTTTTTTTCCTCCAGATTTTCAAAGTGCTTCAACTTCACTGAAGTTAAAATTACTCTGCAGTGGACTAGAGTACATTTATACTAGCAAGTTCTATTCACTTACCTCTTCAAAAACACTGCCTTGCGGTTTAGTATCTATAAGCACTTGAAAAATCAACAGACTGTGTGTGGGCAACATTGTGAATGAAATTTGAAGTGAGATGAACCACAGCTATAATTAATAAACCATCACTTCCAAAAGTGATTAGTAAAATAGCATAGGGATGAATTCACTAAATGTTTGTAGACTTTGTCGATTTAATGGATCCATAGAAATGTCTAACTTCTCAGGATGGTTTTTGCATCAATAATTATATAGTCTGTATTTCAGGTTAGGAAAATTATCGAAAATGCTGGAAATGGGGTTTCTATACCTAGTGATTTTTTAAAAGGTCCCCCCCAAAAAAGATAGGAATACTATAGAAAATTGGTTTATATCCATTAACGAATTTTATTTTGGCCCACAGAAAGTACATCACAGACCTTTGCTGTATACTTTATATAATATTAGTGTTGTCACAGAGTGGTACATGTTGGCCCTTAACTTCTTAATCCTGTCAGCAATTATATTTTACATTCTGCTTTATGTAAATTACCTCCTATGTTCTCTTGGTGTAGGAGAAAAAAGAAAGATCTTGATGTTCTGGAAATGCCATCTATTCCAAACCCTTTTCCTGAGCTATGCTGTTCTCCATTTACATCTGTGTTGTCAGCAGGCCTGTTTCCCAAAGCAAATTCAAGGAAAAAGCAGGTATGCATTTTAAAATTTTCTAATTCAAAAATCTTAGAGGAGTTCTAAATCCATATAGTTTTTTAAGATATTCAGTAATTTATAATATTAACAAAGGAGTGGTATGGCCTATTTTAAATGACTATTAGCTGACAAAGTTTTTGGCATCATTTTCCTTTGAGACCTCAAGTTTTCACAGCTGTAAAATGGGAATATTAAAATTTACCTACCAGGCTTTTGGGATGGGTTAAATGAGAGAATATATGTAAAATACAGAGTCTCGGAGCTATTATTATTTACAGGGTAGGCGGTAGAGTTATATGTGACAATAGATTATCAATGTTAGTCAGAAATTGGAGGAGGGTATGGGGTGAGAAAGGGATTGGCTGATTTCTTTAATACCTTCTTTAATGTTCCACATTTTCAACCCAAGCCAACCTCACTTACTAAAGGAAAATGGTATAGTGATTCTGTGGCAAAAGGTAATGGGAGTTGAGAACTCAACATGACTTCTTCACCAGTGAATTCCTCAGTTTGGAGGCTTCTGGCTACAGTAGATGACTTCTTAGTGATGATTAGAAGATGGACTTTACTTTTATGATTTTGCTTTCTTTCTCAGTTTCTAGTTTGAGACTGACTTAGGCAAATTAGATTTCAAGGGCCCAGCAATTATGGGGAGATCCATCATGATTATACATTTTGAAAAAAAATTAGTGTATCCTAGAGTAATCCTATCTCTTCTTAATACATTCCCTCCCAATTCTGAATCAGCAAAACAAAGAGAGGCTTCACTAGGCAAAATGTACCTTGCTCTTGCAAGGATAGAAGCAATAAATTTAAACAGATACTTGCAATGAGGAGAGGGGTAATGAGTGGAGAGAAGACATTTGATCATTTCCCCACATCTATTGTTGTCTTTCCTTTTTTCTGTACTTTTACTACCTATGATGGGTTCAATAATGTATGTTTACGGTTTTGGGAATGAAGGAAATACCCTAGGGAATGGATGGGTTCTTGATAACATAAAGCAATAATATAGACAGGAGGGCAGCATTCCATGGACTGTTGGGTTTTGATAGAAGTCTGGTATAACAAGGCATATATATATATATATACATATATATATATATATTTTTTTTTTTTTGAGGGGGGCGGTTTGAAGTTTAATTGGTGCATGTGCTTTTTGGAAAAGGACTGGAGAAAGTGGGAGTAAATATTCCCGGAGCAGAGGTATGTTCTCAATTAGAGACTTTGATGGGGGAGGCAAGTCCTTAAGTGGGCGGGACTGTGACTTTGGATGAGGAGATGAACAAGGAGGAGATTCTTGAGAGCTTTATTATCAGGATGAGTTTTAAAGTCAGAGCCCAAGCGAAAAACAGCCCTGCTGAAATGTCTGGGCCTTTTAAGAGCTTGGCTTTTGGGTCAGGATATAAGATGAAAATATGGGTGATAGATTTGATTGTGTGTCATGATGGAAGAAAAATTGATGATTGCCCTTGGGATCCAGAATGGGAAAAGGAAATGTCTGATGATGATGTAATAGTCAGCTGGGGAATTTAATAGATTATTTCCCTATTTATGGAGGGCCTGCTGTGTTCCTTGCACCATCCTAGGTTCTGGGGCACTGAGCTAAGCAAAAAATGCCATACAAAGGGTGCTTACCATGATGGGGTTTTGATTTGGAGTTGGGTTATGACTTAGGAGATGAACAGTGGAAGGGGAGGAGAGGAGGAGAGGCCTGGGCTTATTCTCACTTTAATTTCTGGAATGAACACTGAGAGAATGCCTGTGTCTAAGAGATGTCAATGGGGCAAGGTTCATCTTGAATAGAGACAAAGTATGTTAATAGAGGGAGGAAAAAAAGAGAGGGTGGGTATGGGTGTCAGGGTGTGCCCTAAGGGTGTGTAGTCATCATCCTGGAGTAAGACATCTTGTCTTGGGGAATGATAGCATTTCTTCGGATCTGGTTTAGCAGATTGGCAAAGTGGGAAAAGGGTGCTATGTTACTCTTGACTCCGGCTGGTTTCCTGCTCTGGCCTTGTGTCCTATTTCCACAGTGACCTTCTCAGAGAGCACTACACCCACACAGACAGCAGTGCTGTTTCATGAGCAGGGAGTTCTGGCCCGCCTCCTGGAGGCCAGTCCCAGAGGGGTGTTCTCACCCACGAAGGGCCCTTTGCCCGAGGGTTGGGATCTCTATGAAGAGGTGATGTCCCAAAGTTGGGGAAGAGGAAGGTTCCTTTTTACACTCTTTCATGTTTCCCACCTCCACTTTGCATTTCGAACAGATCCTTTGTTTTTATTCCTTTCTAGATGCTCAGTTCTTTGGACTGAATGATGCTTTGGGAACAGCTGACTCTTTGTCAGTAATTTCCCAAGCTCAGTATCTTTGTGACACAGATGACCCTTTTACTAGATGGTATTTCTGGCCCGATTATCTCTGACCTTCACTTGAGATGATGTACATGACTGGATGTGATAGGTTTCTATTGACTATTATTTATGGTTGACACATTACAGGGGCTGATGTCTCTTTTCTTTATATTCTCTCTTTCATTTGTTTTGTTTAGCCATTCCAGTCATTTTAACAATTCTTTCCTCCCTGTAGAAAAAGTGAAAAATTGTGCCTGTTATTTACGAATAATTGACCAGAAAGTTTGAAAGAATCCAGACTAGACATGTTAAATTTCATGTGGCCTTTCAAAACCACAGTCAAAAATCATTTTACAGGCCATAAATTTTTTTTTTTTTTTTTTTTTTTTTACAATTTGAGACACCTACATAATGCATGAGTGGTAAAGCGCACTGAAGCCACAAATAGGATATGCTTTATCTCTGAAAATAAAAATGTCTCAAAGTATATAATACTTACTGTAGGCTTCCAGTGTTTTTCTTTTAAAATAAGAGCTAGAATGAGATAGAATATGGATTCTTTATTCTCTCTCCTTCTTGTTATAGTACTGGCCAGATATATTTCCCAGACATATTTCCTTGTGTTTACCAATAAAGCAGATTTAAAGTAGATTCCTTTATATACGTGGTCCAGAAAAATTACTTGCAGTTTAAACTTTATATTAAAAGTGACTTACTTATGAATTTAGATCTCTCTCTCTTTTTTTTTTTTTTTATTTCTGATTGAAATTTACCAGGAAATCATCCCTTAGCACTTACTGTCTGAAGAAAGGGAAAGAATAAGAGATCCTTAGCCCTTGCAGAAGAATCAGTTCTAGTCTTGTTTGTCTACTCTCAGGTAATTTTTGTGCTGGGACTCAGCTTGTGCGGTAGGTGTGGTTAATTGCTTCCCAGGCCTTTGTAGTGCAACTTATTCAAAATAAAGTATCTGAAGATTTTAAAGATAAAAAGATACCCATGAAAAACTGTGTTGTGGAATGTTTGAGCTGGAAGAGAACTTTGAGGTCATCTAGTTCAATCCTCTTTTGCAGATTAGTAAACTGAGGCTAAGAAATTCTATGTGGCTGACGGTGGCATAGCGAGGACCTGGAATCTGCATTTCTTGAGGCTTTAAAGAGTATTTTTAAGGAAGGTCCAATTTCCTCAGAAGTCAAAAACTGTTAAGAGTAGCACAAGGAATAAACATACCAGAGCAGGGTGACGGTACCATTAGTTAATACTCATTTAAGGACCTAGATTCTTCTTTTTTTTCTTTCCTTCTTCAACTCTAACTATCTCTGTGTTTTTAGCCTTTAGCTTTCTTCTCCACCTTCTCCCTAAAATTGATTTGAAAAATTTACCAAACAATTGGCTTATTACCAAATAGGATTTACTAGTTATTACCAATAACCAGCTTTTGCATGTAGTTTACAGTCCACAGTTAGAAGAAACCAAAAAGTGGTCTCTTATCCACGTTTTATGATTTTTTTTTTTAAAGATTTTATTTATTTATATGACACAGAGAGAGACAGCGAGAGAGGGAACACAAGCAGGGGGAGTGGGAAGAGAAGCAGGTTTCCCGCTGAGCAGGGAGCCCGACGCGGGGCTCGATCCCAGGACCCTGGGATCATGACCTGAGCCGAAGGCAGTTGCTTAACCAACTGAGCCACCCAGGCGCCCCAGCACATTTTATGATTTTTTGGAAAGTGCAAAAACCAGAAATGATTTGCCTGTACTCTTACAATTTAAATAAAGGAAGCTCAAAAAGAGTATCATGTCTGAATGTGCTTTGCCCCTTACCACATTGTTTCTGATCTATTCTGTATTGAATTAAGCCTTTTTGTACATCTCAGAAAAACAAAAAATATCTTTCAAATAATTAAGAAATTACTTTTCCATATGTTCTGCCTTTGACTTCTTTTTTCTCTCACATATCAGGAACTATCAAAAGACAAATTCATCTCTCCCCAAGTTAATGGACCTCTGATGTCATTCCTTTGTGTTGCTAGTAATTAACCCAATTTGCATAGTCCTGTAGGAATCTTGCATGGCTGCTACATTAACCAAACTCTCGTATACTCATTTCTCCAATATTCACAGAAGTAGAAAGCAATAAATTATAGTCTCATATTCCCATTTTCCAGATTCAGTAATTAGCAAGATTTTGCTTCATTTACTTCATCTATTCGTTTTTGAAATTTTTATTGTCTTTGTTGAAGTATTTTAAAATAAATCCTGAACATCCTCAATTTGCATCCCTGCCTAGTTTTGTATGCATCTCTGAAAAATATATTTTCTCCTATAACCAGAATGCCGGTATTGTCTAACAAAAATAACAATAATTCCTTGGTATCATAATCAAATTGTTTCAGTTGGAATGATACATAAAATCCTCAGATTATAAACTGGTTATATTTCAAAAGTCCTTAAATTAGCTCTTTGGAAATTTAAATTCATTTTCAGACGGAAACAGCATCATAGGTTGCATTTCAGCTCCCCCAGGCCGTTTTACAAAATCCCATTTAATGTGAAATGAAATGCAAATATCTTATATGTGCAGAAAAAAATAAATAGAAACAATACTTGCTCCTATTAGGGTTTCAAACAAATATGTCTTTCCAACAGCAATT